GTCCAGAAGCCGGCGACTGATCTGCCTCGCCAGGAGCGCAATGATGGTGCCAACTTGGGCCAGTGAAGCAACTTCCTCCACAGCTAGACTGAAGAACAAAACGACAGCAACTTGTCTGTTCCCCTTCCCTCAATTCCCAACACTGTTCCCATCCCCCCAATACCCCAATAAAAATCTTTAAAAAAAAAAAAAAAGCTCAGTGAGCTACAAAAGAACATAGGAAGACAACCAATTTAAATTTTTAAAAAACACATAAAGAATATAAGGCATTCAACAAATAAATAGAAACCATAAAAAAAGAAAACCAGAAATTCTGGATCTGAAGCATAAAATGAATAAACTGAAAATTTTAATAAAGAGCTTCAACAACAGACTTGATCAAGCAAACAAAGGGACCTATGAACTCGAAGACAGGTCTTTTGAAATTATACAGTCAGGGGAACAAATGGAAAAAAGAACGAAAAAGAATGAAGAAATCGTAAGGAACTTATGGACCAACAAAAAAAACCAAAATCAATATACGCATTACAGGAGTCCCACGAGGAGAAAAGCAGGCGAAAGGACCAGAAAGCTTATTTGAAGACATGTTGAATGAAAACTCCCGAAATCTGGAGAAAGTAATGGACATTCAGATTCATGAAGCCCAAAGGACTCCAAATAGGTAGACCCTAAAGAGGTCTACACTGAGACATATTATAACTAAATTATCAAAAGTCAAAGATCAACAGATCAATTTGAAAGCAGCAAAAGAAAAAAAGTGACTCATCACATTCAGGGAAATTCCCATAAAATCATCAGTGGATTTCTCAGCAGAAATCTTGCAGGAAAGAAGAGGGTAGAATGATATATTTAAAGTACTGAAAGGAAAACCTCCCAATCAAAAATAGCATATTTAGCAAAAACGTCCTTTAAAAATGAAGGAGGGCTGGCCGAGGGGCTCAGTTGGTTAAGAGTTAGCTTAATAGCACAAGCTCTGAGCAACAGGGCTGCCAGTTTCAATTCCCACATGGGCCAGTGACCTGAGCTGAGCTGTCGCTGAGCTGCCAACAAGTGGCAGGATGGCTCAGTTGGTGAGAGCACGTGCCCCTAACAACAAGACTGCCTGTTCAATGGTGGGTTATGCCCCCCTGCAACTAAGACTGAACTCAGCACCTTGAGCTGAGCTGCCACCCAGATGGCTCAGTGGATAGAGCGTGCGCTCTTAACAACAAGGCTGCTGGTTCGACTCCTGCATGGGATGGTGGCTATGCCCACCCACAACTAAGATTAAACACAGCACCTTGAGCTTAGAGGCCACGAGCTGCCGACGGGCAGCCAGATGGCGACTGGAACCCTCTACAATGAAAATTGAAGAACAACAACTTGGCTGGTCCCCTTCCCCAATTCCCAACACTGTTCCCCTCCCCCAATTCCCCAATAAAATCTTTAAAAAAAAAAAAAGGAAAGAAATCCTGCCATTTGCTACAACATTCACTATACACCATGTTTACAATTATAAATACTAAATGATATCTATCTGCCTCTGTTGAGTAAGACCTCTGGGTCCAGTCCTTACAGCAACAGCATAGTCTCTCTTATTGTTACAGTAACTCAAGCAGTGTTGACAGCTGTTGAGAACCAGGGAAGTTAGGTAAGAACACCTGTGTTCCCACCCTTTGTTCATGTTAGGGACGCCAACTAGTGCACGTGTCAGGCCATGTCTTCCCTGCATCCCATAGTCAACTCCCTTTCCTGCTCACCTCCATGGTCAGGCTGTCTCCAGCATTCTTTATTCCATTACTGTGGGCAGCTCTTCTAAGTTCCTTTAAGCCCTCCTCGGGTTTGTTGGAAATAATCAGCCACCGAGCAGACTCTGCCAGCCACCTGATCAAAGAAGACAGAAGTGCAACCAACTATTATTTGCCCGTTTTTCACATTTGCTGTGTCCTGAAATGCCTCTCCCCTTCCATCTAATATCTACCCCTTGTTTTGTTATACCAGGAAGTGTAAACTTACGGTCTCTTGTACCATAACTGGGAAACTGTGAGGATGACAGCTCCATGCAGCGAGTATACCTTCACTGCTGGGAACATACGGTAGGAGTCATACTGGCCCCTTCTTATTCAAGGGGATATCACCAGTTTTAGCAAATAAAAATAGTGTGCCGAGTTA